TTTTACCTTCCTTTTATGTCATAATTCTATTCAAACTTCATTCTTCATCCTCAAGAATCAGTATGTTTTGGATTCCCTTCTCTTTCATTCTAAAATTAGGTTAGTTCTCTTTTCCAGTTTAATGCCCTTGCTCATACTGATTATGGGTTATGAGAGATGCCCAGTGTCTTTGGAAGCCATTCAGCTAGTCTTACTCCCTGCTCACCTGATAGGCATCACACTGCAAATGTTTTAGATTCATGCCCTATTATCGTGGTAGTAATAGTAATATTTTATGTAATTAAGGTAAAACTGAAATTATACATTATATTGCTCTACCTGCAAGGGTAGCATACACAAGTCTTATACTTACATCACTGATATTATAAGCATTGACTCTGGACTGGAGAAACAAAGGAGCATCAGGAGGAATGGAACATCTGGATTTTTCAGCCTCATGTTTGGCTTTGTAGTTCATCTGAAATGCAGAATGAATTAATGACAACATAAAAAGTAACTGTGTGTAACTGTCTGAGGGACTGCTATAAAAGCTCCATACAAACATACTGTTCATAAGGCAGATAGATAATTTCTCAACAGTGTGCCACATATGTGTCTAGTGTCAGCAGCATATCTCCACTAGTATCTGCACAGCAGAGGAAAACAGTTTCTTAGCACCATCAGACTAAGAACGTCCTTTTGCTTTCAGTGAGCTAGCAATCAATAATGGTTACTTTCATATTGTAAAAATTGAATCTAGTTAACCAGCAACCAGCAATTCCCAATTGTAGAGAAGACAATTTTGTAAACGTGTCTGAGTAGCCAAAGGTTACCAACCCCACTACCATATACTCAACTTAGAACACATTGATTTGAGTCAAGTCCTGAGGGTAATCATCCATGTATATCATAGTTTCATTCTCATCTACAATAAAGAACCGAATCTAGCTGATTCAGTTCTCAAAGTCTTCTGCCAAGGAACCCTATTCATTAATGTCGGGAAAGCTGAGATGTACTGCATGCCCGGGTATAAAGCCTGATGCATACGATGCAACTGCTTCAATTTGTTTTAGAAAGTGTTGCTACAAAATTCTCACTTTCCAAAGAGAGTCCCATATCATTGCAATGTTAAGTAACTGCGAGCCCCAACTAACTCTGCACCATCTGTCAGACAACTTAGCATGAAAAGTAACATCACGCAAAGCCCGGTTCTGTCCGTTTCCAGGTTCCTTACGTCACTCAGCTGCTTGGTATTAATCTGCGCTTGTAGCAAAACTGGGGAGTCCAGCACTGAAGTAAACTTGATCTGGTCAGGATGCTTTTTGTAGGCAAACTAGGGGGAAAAAATTT